AGAATGCTAAACATTCTAAGCATTCAGCTATGTGCTCTTTCAGATTTTATAAAGAATATAAGAAGACCCGCTTTCATTTTAGACACTGTCATTGTGTGCTTATGAATGGTTCTTTAGTCCTAACAAATAGCCAAAACATAATTCTTTAGAAATAAATAAATACAATTTTTCACAAACAGTAAGCGATTTCCATCTTTCTTTTTTTCTCCTGACATTCAGTTCTCTAGTTTTTTTCTTTATAATATATGCATTCATTAACCCTATTCTTTTAATAGCAATAGATAAAATTTCAATTTGGGTTTTAAGATTTACTAATACTTAAATTACAATTACTAATAGGCAACAATAGGTTTCATAGTCTTAAAATCAGTTGAGATCAGAAAATAAATTTGTTTTTGAGTCACATGCTGGACAATTTAAGTCAGTTTCTTTGTAAATTGACAAAGCAGTTAATGGTAACTGATAGGATGCTGGACAAAATGCAGTCTAATTTTAGTGCAGATATAAAGCATAATTTATTTCAGAAATTCCATTTTCACCCTAGATTAAAATATTAATTTAGACTAAATTGCCAATAAAAAAATTCAATATTTAAGCTTGGTGGATCAACATGTTTCAGCACTGTCACAAATTGATGTTTTCACTAATTTGCATTGTCCATGTACTACATTTTCTACCTGCAGGAAAAGAACTGGTATTTTGATGCCACACCTCAAAGAGAGTGTAAATCAACAATTTAATATTGATATTAAAAACTGGGAAAATATATAATGGAGAAGAACACACAATTTCTTTCATGCCACAGTGACATGACACTGATTCAAGATTTACTTTTACAGGAGTTAATGCATTCGGGATTGAATTTTACAACCAGCAAGTGGAAAAAAAATGCTGAAGGTTATCAATGATTCCAGTCTGTCACAAGGACAGAAAAATCAAAATTCAACTGATTAGCATAGAACATGCTAATCAATCAAATTTAAAAACTGAATTTTCTTGTTTTTCCATGAAAGTATTTAATAACACCTTTATAGTTTGTGCCATGCTAAATACTCTGGAAAAAATATGTTTATCAAAACAGTTAATTTAATAAAGGAATATATTTAGAATAATTTCACACAAACAATAAAGTGATATAATGACACTATTATAGAAACACTTCTATATTAAAAATGCTACCATACAAACCAGTATAATATTCTGAAGCTCTAAGTGTGGCACCTTGCATTATTAGAAATATTCATAGAAATATGATTTAATTTTTTCTTACTCGGTTTACTAAACAGGTTGTTGATTTTTTTTAAAACGGAAAATAATTGAGTTGAAAATAATTCACTAAGTTGTAACTGGACGGTCCTTAGGGAAGAAGAAAGGAAGGGGAAGAGAGAGGTCGAGAAATACAAAAAAAAAAAAGCGGTCATTAACAAAAACACGAGTCAGAAAGATATCTTAGCTAGCATGTTGACCGAATTTTTTTTAAAGACAATTGGAAGAATAGAATTAGAAATAATAAGAAAAAGAAAGGGAAAAAAAGACATGATATCAAAAGCGGGCCGCTTGATGGAAGCCAGATATCGGTCAAAGCACCTAGCCTACTTTTTGCATGGAAAGACACCTTATCAATTTGGATAAAGAGAAATTTTGGGAACAATGAAACAATCTTAATCAGAGAAAAAGTGTCTTTTGGGTTGAGGGGAGTGACGGTGGAACGGTATACAGGCTCTGACCTGTTAAAATTAGAACCCCCACAATAATAAAGTGGAGACATTTTCAATGTAGATAATTAAGATTTTTGACTATCAGGAAAAACAAAGAGGTAAAAAGAGGGACAATTGCTTTTGGCTCACAGAGGGCGCCAAGAAGGCGGAAAGATCCTTTCTGAAGTCAAGTCTAATTAGCGGCGGGCTGTTTGACAAAGTCCAGGTGAGAGAAGGCCAAGATGGTCATTTTTTCGTGCGTCTTGAAAAAAAAAGGAAAAATTAGATTTTGTTTTTTTAGAACAAGAACGATATAAGCCCGCCCGATTGATTGCAGGAAACGCCCAATCAGGATCTCATTAGCGAAAACGGTCACGTGGCTGCAGAAAAGAAAAGAAAGAAATGCTCAACCAGAATCCCATTAGCCGAAAACGGTCACGTGGCTGCGGAAAAGAAAAGAAAGAAATGCTTTCGATCAGAATCTCATTAGTCGAAGCGGTCACCTGACATACGAGAGACCGAGAGAGATGGATATGCGCCTCCCACCAAAAGCACTATGAGGAAGTAGGGGTGAAAACAATAGCGATAATGGAGAAATCAAAAATAATCGACTTTGGAATTATCGAGAAAACCCTGACGCCGACAGACCCACCCCAGTTTGTTGCAGCGTCAATAAAAGCAGGACCCCAGTCGACAGAAATCAGTTGGAGTTGGGTGGAGTTGCAGCTGGACCGCGGGCAGGGATAGAGCCTGAACGCGGCCATCGGGCCCCATTCACTCGCCCCTTTATGAAAGACAAGAAATCCTTCCACCCAAGTCGAAGACAAGAGAACTTCCAGCCCAAGCAGGCGAAGAAGGAGATTGCTCGAAGGACGCCAAGAGTTGTGGCAGAGTTACGGCAGAGTTCAGCCCGGACGGCGGCGAGAAGAGATCACCTCCACGACAGAGAGTTGCGGCTGAGTTGCGGCAAGAGATCCTTCCAGCCCAAGTCAAGACAAGAGAACTTCCAGCCTAAGTCGACAAAAGAAGAAATACAACCCAAGTCGAAGACAAGAGAACTTCCAGCCTAAGCAGACGAAGAAGAAAAATACAACTCAAGTCGGAGAGAAGAATCAACTGCGAATGATCGATAGAAATTAGCCCCAGTGTCGAACTGAACCACACCGACGACATACATACATGATTCTAGAAAGTAGGTAATTCGACATTTTTCTATTGTGTGATAGAAGCTTGGTGCCATAGTCCACAGAGCGGGTCGGGAATTGAGAACAATTTTGTTTTTATGTAACGGACATTAAGATATAAAAAGGTTGTTACCCTTTTATCAGCAATTTTGTTTAGTGTCGTGAGTTTTTTTTTTTTATTTGTGTTTTGCCACCCCGTCGGACTCGACTTGTATCGCCCAAATCCCTGCTGGTCCCGTCTGTCTAAGATCTAAACACAGCGTGGGTAGACAGACCGGAGATCGGTATAGTTGCTTTTAGTGACCAGGTATTGGAAGCGAGTCGGGAAAGGCGAGGCTGGTGATCATCTGACCAAAGGGTTGGAGCGGCACGCTTGGACCCAGGAGGAGCGACCAGGAGGAGCGACGTCACCGTTGGCGCCGTAACCAAAGGATCCGACACTGGGCCAGGTGTGTAACCGTCACATAAGCACAGGCACAGGATTAGCAGTGTTTTACATACATATTTTATCCATTGTCTTAAATGGATAAGAAATGTATGTAAAACAGAATAGACAAGCAGAATTCATACAAGAAGTTCAATCACAACATGAAAAATAAAAACAGAAGTTTATTAAAAAGTTTTCTTTAATAGAATTTGGTGAATGTAACAGTTATAATCACAAATTTCATAATATTAGCAAAAAGTGACACTTTTTTCAAACTCTTGGCAATTAAAAATAATTATTGTAATAAATCTATTATATGTTCTAAGAGGCTCACAATCATTATTTTTAAAAGATCAAATTTTCTGTGTATGTAGAGAGATAGAGACAGACAAACACAGAGAAAAACAATGAAATAGTGAGAATATGAGACAGTGTGAGAGGATATTTTGTGTGCAAGAAAATGAGAAGGCATGTGAGATAAAAACAAAAAAACAGAGAGAGATAAGGGAAAGAGGGTGATAGAGAAAGTAAAAAAACAATAAGAGAGAGAGAAAGAAAGAAAGAATGAATGTAAAAATAGTTATGAGAGAAAGAAGGTAAAAAATGTTACAAGGGAGATAAAAAGCCAGGAGAGAAAGACAAGGTAAAAAGCCAGGAGACAATAAAAATGAAAAGTAAAGCAAGAAAGAAAAAAAGCTAGAGAAAATCAACTGATCAAGTGGGGTATATTTTATTAAATGTTGAGTATTTTCAACAAAATCCTAAAGTTACACTCTCAATTAAGCTAGATTAAGTACATGTAAATATATTTTTATTATTAAAATAAATGAATTCCTGGACTGATTGACAAATATTTAAAAAATCAATTGAACTTACCTGTTAGGTAAGTACAATTATTTTCAAATATCTGCCTATTTTAATAAATGTAAAATTTGCTAAGTAGGACATTAATTACTTAATAATAAAGTCTAAAGTGACCACCAAATCAAGACGTGTAATGTATATGCCTACATAAAGAATAATAATTAAAAACACAGACACTATATCTGATATTATGTGTCTCCATTTTAAGAAAAAAAAAAAATAGTAACTGGTTATTTAAACAGAGATACAAGAAATTGGCAAATCTTTTTGAATAATGCAAGACTACCAAAGAATTAGAATGATAAATAGTATCTAAATAAAAACTGAACATTGAAGACAAAAACTTTCCTTGTGATATTACTTGACAAGTCGTTATAGACGATACTATTAGAGTTTTTTTTTTCAAATTATAAATTATTTAAATCATCACAGAAGAGCAGCACTGCATGCATATGACATGTCATTTACTTTTTCTCGCAGGTAGAATCATATCAACCCATAAAAATACTCAGTTTTTTTTGCTACTCAAACATGCAAGCAGCATCATGTTTTTCTTAAATACTTACCATACACACACAAGCTGTGAACAACATATTGTCATTCTTCTTCATTATTCTAATCAATTGTAAAATAAAAAATGTAATGCAAACTAATAAATATCTAATCAAAAAGCTAAAGATTATTTATTTACACTAAAGTGATTTTTTACACTGAACACAGCAAAAAAAAAAAGAAAAAAAAAAGAAAAAACTAACTTTCTAAACACAAGAAAATTTGGAGCAAAGACAAAATGCTTTCTTTTACATTGTCTTTCAGAGATTTGATATGTCAAATTTTGAAGAAAAAGAAACAGTGAAAGGAGAGAGTAGATATTTTGTAAGAAATAAACGCAAGAGGAAAGAGTAAAATGGAAAAAAAGAAAGGGAAAATTGGAGAGAAAGAAAAATGTAGAGTTTCATACTGAAGTTAAAAAAAGTAACTAAAAGACAAACAAAACAACAAACATCAGAAATTATGGAAAAGTTGGAGTGAAAGGAGAAGAGACAGGTGGGAATAGAATGGTTAAATTCTAAATTTTCATAAGAGTGTTGAGCTCACTCCCAACTTTGGGTTTCACTTAGAATTTTCTCCTTTGATAGCTGACTGACAACTTTTCCTGACATTTCAAATTTGAAGATCACATTAAAGAGGTTGCCACCAAGCCGTTGGGCAAGCCACTTGTTTTTCAGAACTGCCACTTTGAGAGAATCACAGGAAAAAGATGCATGGAAATTGGTGTGTATTGCACGGCCCATACCTTCCAGTACAATCAAATCAGCTTCATACTTCCTCAAAATGTTTGCCAAATTCTTGTCTATTAATCTATAAAAAAAGAAGAAAAAAGTCAGCAAAAATTTTCAACAAAAAATTTGTATTTGTGATTAATAAAAATGAAAATTTGAAATTCTCGTTTTGAAAAAAAAGTTCACAACACTCCAATTCATTTTATGTAAATATATACAAAAGAAAATTCAATTACTCCATTCACACAAATAAATGAAACTGCAAAACCAAAATGAGAAAACAAATTGGCTTGCATTAATTTCCAAGTTAACTTAAAAAGAATAAAATCTAAACAAAGGAGAAAAGTTTTTAAATTCACCTATTCATATTATCCATGATTCAGTCAAACTTTTTTTAATTATTTCACCTTCAAGCAAGGCAATAAAGCCACTAAGAGGGTACTGAGTGTGAGAGAATATGAGAAAATAAAACATTAAGGAGAAAGAATAATAAAAGAACCAGAATTAAGAAGACAGAATATAACAATTGCTACTGCATTTAAATTTTTGAAGATTGAGTTGACTGGAAACAAGAAGCTGGAAGAAAATTCCACAAGTAAGAGGTGCAAAAAAAACTGTTAGCATAGAACTTATGGTTACATCTAGTCATTTCACCCGTAAGGTGATAAGACCTTGCCACCAATCTAGTAGTACATTTACATTCATAAGGTCTAGGTATGATAGAAGAAAGTTCACCAGAACAATTACCAGGAAGATATTTATAGAAAAGGCACAGTGAAGCTACATTACAGCAGTGAGAAAGTGACTGAAGCTGAGATACTAAGTCAGTACCAATAAGATTGTAGATTCTTTGTATTTTATCAAGAATCTCTAAATACATAGCAGAAGCAAAAGACCAGATATGGCAGCAATATTCAATGGTAAACTTAGAAATGTGTAAAATAGATTCTGGTGAGAAAAATTGTCTAGCATGACACAGTGAACCAACTTTCCTAGCAGTTGATTCAATATAATCTTTCCACTTTGAAAATATCAGCCAGAGAAGTTTCAAGGAGTCACGCTCCTGTAGGTTAGCATTTCGATGCTGATGGAAGGCAACTAGTTCCTTTATTTTTGACCATCTCTCTATTTCCAATTATACTTCACTAGAATTGTTAAAGCTTTAAAAGAATATTATTGGTCTTTCAATCTCCAAAGCTTCCATTTCTGAAATACCTTGACTCTTAAATTCCTTTCCGATTCTACTTTTATTCATATCCATTGATATTTAAGCCAGAAATGATTTCTCATAGTGGCAATGAGTTTCTTCGGGCAGTTGCTTATCCACCAATTATGATGAATTATTTTCCTAACCTTATTTTTTACTAAATTTTTCTTACCTTTTAAGCATTCACTGAGCTTCTATTATATAAGGTGAATTGGAATAAATGTGAGATTTCTACATATGCAGAGGAATGTTACATGGAACATGATTTGAATAAATTACTACATAATGAGGTGATAGCACCTCATCTCAGAAATTCAGATGAAAAGAAAATATTTTCCGATTTCTGAAATTCATAACAAAATGCAAAAACTGAAAACTTTAGTGTTAAATTTAATATATTCACCTGAGTTTGCTTCATATAATTTAGTCTTCTATAAAAGTTAGGTAAAGTAAAATACTTTATGAAAACAATGGCACATTCAGAGGACCTGAATCAACTGATAAAACACACCACATCTGTTTAAAAGCCTTGTTTTTGTTATATAGGAAAATCCAACATGGCGTGTGAATGAAATATTAGGCAAAAAATCTCATTCTTCAGTAACATTTTAAACACCTCATAGAATGTAAAGTTCTTAAAGCAAACCTATGCCAAACAGTTTTCTTGAATCCTTGATGACTTGGTTGTCCAAAAATGACAACGATGAAATAATGGAAACTGGCTGTGAAAAACAATTATGTGCAACAAGTTTTCAATCAATCAGTAAACTTCTGGACATTTTCAGGCGATGTTATAGGATCCAGACAGCTATTGTTTGCACATGGAATTATTCACTGGTAATTAATCTTCTATTTAGCTGTGGAAAATGTCACTCAGCAGTTAGCATTAAGAAATTATGGTCAATTTTCTGAGAAAAATCAGTTTTTTTATGAACAAAATATTTATTTTCACTTCAAAATAATATCATTCAAACTTCATCCCTTTCTCTTTCATTTGGCATGAACATCATTGAATAAAAGGAACAGCTAAATGGCTCGGCAATGGAAATACGAAAGATATGTGGCAAAAAAAAAAAAAAAAAAAAATCTCGTCTGCTTGTTGTCATCACCTGGGTCACGGGGTGTTAAAAACAAAACGAAACACATCAAGCCATTGTTCAAACATAGGTTATATCAAGCTCTACTAATGTTGACCCTTTTTTTTCACTCTTTGCTCTTATCTGGGAGTGGTGGGTTTTATTACAACTTGTTCTAAAAGTTTATTGCTGGCTGGCTGAGCTTTGACCCAGAGATCTCAAAGTCAATTTGGTTTAATTTTCCTTGTTGCTGCTAATTTTTTTTTTTAAAAAAAAACTTTTGGTTTCTGGTGGTCAGGAATTGCAGATAAATCTTTCACCTTTTACTAAAGATATCCGTGGCCAGGTATCAATTTTTTTTTTAGCCCCTGGCATCATATAATTGAAAATTACCAATGGACTTTGTCGCATTTTGACCCCTTAGGAGTGTTGATTGCCTTCAAAACACTCAATTTTATGTCTGAAATAGTTTGATTATGATTCAGGCTTTCTGATTTTAAAAAAAAAAAAAAATTAATGGGGAAAATTTTTGTTTAGAACTAGAAAAAATGCAAAATTTTCACTATTTTTTCACATTTTACCCACTGAAAAAAAATTTTGAGTCATTTACCAATTTTACTTTTAAATGAAAGAATATATCCTTTGCTTTCAGAAAATACCTAGTTTCATCGGGCTCAGATCAAAAATTTCCTTGATATTAGTTTAGGTGATGATAAAACAGTCATTTTTCAATATTTTACCCCTATAAAAGTATGAAAATCCATTTTTTGAGAGAAAATAAGCTGTGACAAAATGACTTGCTATTTTTGTGATGATTTTTACTTGGGATAGAAAATTTTTATCATAGCAAACCTTAATTGAATTTATTTAATTTCAGTGGGGCTATAGGAAACCTCAAACAGCTGTCACACCCGACACAATTTTATTCTTTATGAATATTTTTGATACTGAATAAGAAAATGTATGCAAATTAGAAAGGGGTGCAAGACAAGGACATGTCTTCTCACCAGACTTATTCAACCTATAATGAGGTGATTCTGTAAGAATTAGAAGTCCTACCAGGATTTATTATTAGTGGTCACAATCTTAATATCCAGATGACACAGTGTTAATAGCAGATCCAGAAAGGAAACCAAAAGAATTCCTACAGAAGGTAATGAAGGATGGCAAGAAGAAAGGACTAAATTTCAATTGCAAGAACACAAAATGCATGGTTATTAGCAAAAGGAACAGTCCAACATGCAAATTACAAATTGGAGATACCAAAATGAAGCAAATACAACTATTTAAATATCTTGGAAGTGTTTTAACAGGGGACAGTAAGTGCGCCATAGAAATCAGAAAGTACACTGGGATAACAAAAAATGCTTTCTAAAAACTAAGCAAAATATTAAGAAACAGGAAAATTTCATTAGAAACAGAGAAAAGAGTACTCAACTGTTATGTAATATCATTGTGCCTATATGGCAGTGAATGCTGGATAATCTCAAAGATGAAAAAAAACTTGAAGCAACAGAAATGTGGTTCTACAGAAAGATACTGAGAATACCATGGACTGAACATGTGAGCAATGATGAAGTTTTAGAGAAAATGAACACAAAACTTATCAGAAAGAGACAGTTGAAATTTCTAGGGCACATAAGGGCTTTGACTCACAGGACATATTCAATTTCAGAGGGAGAGGAAACAGCTCATAACCTGCCTAACAAACTTGTGCAAATGGATGGCTGAACAGGATTAAGGAGAAATAACAAAGAGGCAAAATTTACTAAGAGCTACAAAGGACAGGCACTTATGGAGCACTTATGATCACCAATGTCCTGGAGAGATACAGGACATAGAAGAAGTGATATTCAAAATCACAAAGTAGAAATTTAGATATCTTCAGTTATTTTACTTTTCTACTGGTGATAAAATAAACCCAAACTATTTTTTATATACCGACAAAAAAAATTCAACACCCTGAAGGATGATGCCAATTTGGATCTGAATTACAGTAAGTGCATGTTAGCAGGCAGAAGAGATTCTGGTAAAACTTTTAAAAGTCTTTGGCTATCTTGTGATGTAGTAATACTCATAACTGCTCTTTTATGCTTGAGGTTTAAACACATACTACAGTAAGGTTCAGTGCTATGATAGAGTTCAATCAAATCATGCTATGAAAATGTTCACATGCTCCTTTTGTTCAATTACAGTTTTTTTAGAGAAGGGGGCTCTGATTATGGGCTTTCAAGAAGCTGGATAATACTTTAGAGAACTGCTGTACATGACATGTCAGTGGTGGTGTTTCAATGTTGACAAATAAATTCTTAAATCTGTAGACCAGGCTATGTAAAACAGAAGCTCAAGATCAATACATTGTAAGAGCAACTGTGATAGACCACACAGCAGATTTAAGCAATTGAGATCCTAAGTGTGTCAACACTGAGCACAGAAACTTTATTTGCAGCTAAGCTACAGCCACATATGCCTTTAGCCAGACTTTCACTTTCTCCACCAGATCATTATGCATGTTTCCAATGGTATTACAAAGGTTACTTTGAGGGGTGGGGGTAATCAAATGGCACTCTGTAGTGTTTAATAATGAGAGCATATTCAAGGTGATGCTCATTTACATAATCTGATATAAAGTTGGGTAGTGACATCTTCCAGTGTGCATTGCGCCCCACCCCCACCCAACAACACACAGAGATTAAGCTTGCTCACCTTTTGTGTTGAGAGCATTGAACATGCCATGTATGTCCAAACATTATTCAATCTGTTCTACCACAATTGATGCAATACAAAGGTTATGCCCTGTTCCAGCTGGATAATGCTTCCCAATATAATGCCTATGCCACTCAACACAAACTCTAAGATCACTGAACATATCAGGCTTGCTCAGTAATTTTTTTTTTTTTTTTTTTTTTACAGTGGTGTTTACTCTGTACAAGACCTGAGGGCCACTAGAGGCAGAGAGCTACAGAGTAAGGCACACAGCCTATCAGGATATGTGTGGAAGATAATGGTTAATCCTAGACTTGAACATGTTAAGAATATAATGATCAAGGAAGCAACCTCTTGGGAGTCAGTTCCACAAGGCAGTGGTTCATGGAAAGCTGCTGCTTGAATGGAACTTGCATTTCACCAGGCAAATGCAAAGGGTGGTCTGCTACAATGTGCATAGCATGGCAGGTTTTAACTGTTAAGGTTAGGACTGGTGGAACTAAGGAGTGTAGTTCATTTGAACACTCCATGGAAATAGTGATAGAGCAGCAAGAGGCTTGCGACATCTCATCTCTGAGAAAGGAGTTGCAGAGTGGAAAATAATTTGTCACCTACAAGGACACACAGATGCTTTTGGACATTCTCAATAGTTGGAAATGAAGACTGGGCAGCTTCTTCCAATATATGGCAGCAGTACTCCATTTTCAGCCATATCTGGCTCTTGGAAAAGTAGAGGATAGCATGAGGAGTGAGGTATTTTCTGGAGCCGTACAGGGAACTGATCGTTTTCCCAGCATCTTTAGCAATGAATGTATCTAAGAGTTCCATTTGAGGTTTAGGATGAATTTAAGTCCTAATAGGCACTCAAGGTACACCCCCAACACACAAACTCGAGGGAAGATCAATTCATCATAATTGGTGAAAGTTTTGGGTCCAATTGATGATGGTGGAAGGTCACGAGTTTGGCTGAGAATGTGACCAGCCAGTTTTACCCCACAAAGCTGTTAGAGCTAAGTCAGAGTAGAGATCAGCTGCTAAGCTCTCGTCATCAAGGTTTTGAAGGTGCAGCCATATATCATATCATCAACATAGATATTAACAAATGATCATTTATGTAGCATAGGAAGACCAAGAAGTGAACCTTGGGAGACATTGATCACTTGAAAACTAGAAGGACTAGCCATTAACAACTACCTTCAAGAACCTACATGTCAGGAAGGACGTGAGCAGTAATCCCTTATGTCCCATCTTGTAAAAGGCCTCTGAAATATCTAATGTGAGCATCCTTGCCTCATTAATTCTGTGAGTAATTGCAGTTAGGATATCAGCAATGGACTGAACAGATCGAAATCTGTACTGCTTATCACTCAAAAGGTTGTTTCTATTGAGGTGATGATCAACAACCTTGTTGATTATAGCTCCAAAGAGTTTGCTAATAACACTGAGGAGACTGATGAGTCTATACTGTGAGGGGTTGAATGTTCACCTGCATTCTTGAAAACCAAGCATACACTTGACACATTTTACAGACTTTAGTCGACCTACAACTTCTTGTATTGCATCAATGATTGTATGCATACAAAAATACAGGCCTGTGTTAACACCTAACAATGATATATACACAGTGTGCATTAAGGGGTTTGAGTACTGCTGATAGACTCTATATTTTGGAATCCATCCTTTTATCTGTCATCATTTCCAGTTATATTACCTGTGCATTTAATCTTGAATAAATTGAAACATTTAGAGTGTCGCAATTTTATTTTCCATCTTATGTTTGTTATATAAAACACTGGAATTAGACACAAAAAGTTCAATAGTCCAAAGTTTACAAAGAAACAGAAAACTTGATCCAAAATATCATAATATAATTAACAAATAATCTTTGTATCCTTATTTCTAAGTTTAATATATAAAGAATAAAAAATTTATTCATAATTTGAAATTTTGAATGAAAATACCTTCTCACATCATGACTGAAATAGTCAATAAATTCCATAACTACAAAGAAAACATGTAAAATCAATTGTTGCATTTAAAAGTAAATATTTTAAAAGGTCACAAACACCTATGCAGTATTTAAGCTCTGTTTAAGTTGTGTCCAGTGTTTATGTAAGTCATTTATAACAACTGACAATCTTGGTGTAAAAAATGTATGTGTGTATTCCATTTCAGAAATACATGTACATAGCAGTTTTCTAGATTATAGAGTTTTTGGAATTTCAAATGACCTTAGCAGGAAACTAACTTGTCTTATGAACTCATATAATAAAGCATTTGTGTAGAAGCCAGCTCATATGCACACATTGCCCTTACATATTTTTTACCTATGTCTTTTTTGAGAGGTCACTGTGCAATGACAATAGACTTGACCTCAGAGTCATTAAAAACAATGATGCCTTTCCTCAGAATAACAGTCAATAGCTGCAATAAAAAAAAAAAATCTTAATCATCACCATAATTAGATTATCAAGAGAATGTAGAAATCTAATACTCCCTATTCAAGAAGCTTTCTATAAAACTGCTCAAAATTTATCCTTGATAAATCAGGATAATAAAATCATCTTTATTATCCTGACCAGGCATCTTGACTTCAGACACTTTCTCACTGACATGACATATCTTTTCTACAAATATTTCCATGGCAATTGTTCTGATGAGCTTTTCTCCTTGGTAAGTTGGCTGCATGAATTTAAGCATGCTACTAGATTGGCAACTAGGTCTCACCATTTTACTATTGAATTACCTAGATGTAACTGTATGTTCTATTCTAATAGTTTCTTTTCTTGCAGTTCTTGTGTGTGAAACACCCAATTTCTTGCTTCCCTGCCAACTACAGTCTTCAAAAATTTAAACGCAAAACCAATTGCCATCTTTTTCTGAATCTTTTTCATTTTTTATCCTTTTTCCTCATTAAAGTCTTCTCAATCTCTTTCAATCCCAGTAACTCTATGTGTCCTCATGGTATTACCTAGCTTGGGGTGAAATAAAAAAAAAAATAAAAGATGATATTTACCTGAGATCAAGACATGGAGATCCTTGACCAGACTCCATAATAACCAATTGGCCTTTTGCTAATGCTTTATCTATTTCAGGACAGAGAGAAGCCACTCGCTTCACTAAAATATTCAATTCATTATAAATTACATCATTCAAGCTTGGACGAGAATTAGCACAAAGTATTACCTGAAACAAAAGCGAAAGACATTTGAATGGCAATAGGAAGGATTCTCTGGCACATTAAAACATTTTATAGTAGAATTTTATGAGGGGATAAAATTTAATCCAGCAGTCGCACATTTCAAAAAATCCTCCTTCATGCAATGTAACATGTAGAAACAAATTCCCTGGCTACTTTCTGCACCTGTTTGTATCTAGGTCTAGAAGACATTGATTGGATGAAGTGTGACCAAAAATTTGCATGACATTCTCATATATAAATAAGAGATCACACATACTCTCTTTATTTTCCAACATAGGATACATTCCACATGCTGTTGATGAGGTAAGTCGCTATTTTCTATACTACTCTCCTCCCTGATCTAATGGTCACAAATCAGACAGCTTGGAGCAGGTCTCTTTACCCTGGTGCTTCGTTGTAATGGGAACATCTCCACTCTGTGTATTGGCAAGGTGTATCCTGAGGAGTCATCAGGTATATTCAGAATTTCTGGAACCTCCATGTCTGCAGAAGAATCAGATTCATAGAGTTCAATTGTGCGATCACTTTCAGACAATAAATCATGGTCGGAGTTGCACATCAACGTACCAGAGTCTTTGAAAAGGCAAAGATCTTTTACATGCGAGACATCTTGTTGACCATTATTGTTTTTGAACCAATAATGTTTGTACACTGGCTATGTGGAGTTTTTACCTACACTTTGTTGCCAACTCTCTACATGGAGTGATCCTTACAATGATCAAGTGGTAATGTTATGCTAATTCCCTTCATTCTCAGTTGGTAGCAATGAATCATACTGGTGGGTGCAGTAGTGGGAAAATTGTCATTCTTTGGCATGATATGCCAGTACACTGTCTCCATTATCAAACTGTGCTTTCTTTATGCAATTCTCTTTATGCTCCAATGAGATCATTCCACTATATTGTTTCCTGCAGGAGCATATGTGCAACAGAAATGAAGTCTGATTCTCCAGTCATCCAAGAAATCTTTAATGGACTTACTGCGCAATGCAGTGTCATTATCAGTTGGGATTTCTAACAGTGGGCCTCATTCAAAAAAAATGATTTCCAGCTGTCAGGTGATACTGCTTGAGTCTTGCTGAGGCAGATATTACCATATCACAAATCAACTGGGGCCACAGTCAATCAACATAAGGTAGTGTTGTCCACTGTAATGGGTGATATCCATTCCCAAGCAGGTCCAGAGTCCAGTAACACTTGTTGCCTTGCCAACAACACGAAGCTGGGTCAATCAACTGATATTCTTTACATTTTCTTACCAATGACCTGACAGCTGTCTTGGATATCATAGGCTGAACTCGTCTCACAAAATACAGTTGTGCTGGCTTGACCTTTTTGATCACATCATACTATTGTTGTGGTACTCTTGTCACTTTTGAACTTATCTGCTCAATTCTGATTTGATGTCATTAAAGTTACGGTGATCAATAACATGTACTCTTGGATCAGCTTTTCAAGAGTACTCAGCTGCCTCCAGATCAGCATCTCACTTGCCACCTTAGTTCATATTCTGGCTTTACCAGTGAGCATATCTGATGCCCACCAGTGCACATATGTGGAGTCCATGAAGAGATGCAGCCCTGTTGTGCCTCACTGTAGTGCTAAATTGACTCCATTCAGGATTGAATCCAGTTCTGCAGGATTGATATTTTGCACATCATTTACAGGCTGCAACCAACATGCATCCTCAACATTGCTTTGATCAACCTTCAATGAAACTCCTGCAGTGAGAGAACATAAGTTTGTCCATTTGTGCACCACTTGTCATGCACAGGCATACTCTGGTCGCTATGTCCCCAATCATGTTCTTAAGGGGAGCATTATTCACTTTGTCATCCTAGCCAGACATGATAGACATTGTTCTGCATTTAACAAATGATGCAGCCACATGAAGCCAACCACACACAGGAAAGTGACCCATAAGGTTTCCACACCATGAGAAGACCTGTTGCATCATGACAGGAACTGATAGAATGTCATTTCCTATGCCTCCAATTAAGAGAGTTGTTGTTCTCCTCAACATCCAGACCCAAAATATGAGTGCTGTCCCATAACTGCACTGGATCTTTATAGGTCAGAGTAAAGGCAACCAAGTTCTTTCACACGGTCTGCAGAAGTCATGTTCTCATCAGCATAAATATCATCAACTTACGATAATGTTGCCTGTTGAATTCACTCATTTTTTTTATAGCACGGTGTCCAGAATGGCTTTCATTATCGCTGGTGCAACATTCAACTGGCTGCATTTTACTTTTATTTTTCTGCACTACTGCCATCAACAGGATTAGACCTCTAAGTTCCTTTCCAAGATAAGGCTGCAACCAAATATTATCCAGCCATTTTAATGGTGACACAACAAGACATCTCATGCTTGGGAAACTGTACATTGCCAATGCTGTTATTTGGAGTCAATCCAGCTTTTTAATAGTGTCAAACCAAAGCAACAGGTCAAAACCCAATAGCTCCCCATCCACTACCAACACCTCAAAGTCAAGGGGAGCTGTACTGTATGTGAAGATTGAGGTTTTCAACTCTGCTGCATTTGAGGGTATTACTGTTTATGGTAAGTATATCCACCTCCTTCTCCCACCAGGATTGACAGGCTGTCATACTTGCAAGTGACTGAATAGCTGGTGTCCATCAGTACCACTCTCTTGATTCTATATGTAGGGCCTCATTCACAACTTTTCCCAGACAAACTGAAGCAATGCAGCCTAAATCACAACACTAAAAGCAACACATTGTTGCACATGTCTTTCTGTAGTGAACGAGATAATCAAGTACCCCGGAAAGAAACTGGTCTGCGAATTATGCGAGATATCGAAGACTGATCGGATTCTTCCTCTGCGATTGAATGGCGGTGCCCTTGCTGTATATAGGCAGCTGAGTAAAGAACAGAAAAGTGACATTGAGCAAATAAAGCACGCTCTACTAACCGCGTTTGGAACCGACCGGTTCGTGGTCTATGACCAATTCCAGGAACGGCATCTGCGACCTGGCGAGACAGTAGACGTATATTTGGCAGAATTAAAGAAGCTCGCCGTTCCAATCGCACCGCTTCCTGAAGAATGGATGACATGTGCCTTCGTTTCTGGATTGCCCAGTCATGTTAAGCAGATACTCCGCGCATCATCCAGAATGGAAGACCTGACGCTCAATCAATTGTTGACCAGAGCCCGTGCTGTCATGATCAACGAAAAAGAGGCTGATGAACCAGTGGCCGCAGTTATTCAACCAATTGAAGTCAAAGAAGGTCCGACCCCAGCCATTCGTCACCATGGCGTTGCCACCTGCTATCGGTGCTCTGGGCCGAATCATTTTGCCAGAGACTGCCGCTATCAACGCGAAATGGCATGTCTCGTTCTACAATGCTTTCAATGTCAAAAAGTAGGTCATATTGCCTCTAAGTGCCCGGGAAATGGAATGGGGGACGCGACGTCAGCGCCGGTCTCTTCCCCGCACCGAGCATGAAAGTGGCGCTCCCTGTGATTAAGGTACACATCAATGGAATAACGCGTACCGCTTTAATACATTCGGGCTGCTCTCGTTCTACAATGCTTTCAATGTCAAAAAAAGTAGGTCATATTGCCTCTAAGTGCCGGGAAATGGAATGGGGGACGCGACGTCAGCGCCGTCTCTTCCCGCACCGAGCATGAAAGTGGCGCTCCCTGTGATTAAGGTGCGCATCAATGGAATAACGCAGCGTGCCGCTTTAATCCTGATCGGGCTGCTCTCGGTCACTCACCAACGTTCGATTTGCCGACAGTGGAGCAGACAAAAGATGGACGTACTAACGGCTTATGGAAAGGCTCTCAGAAGCCGGGGAGTTGGAAACATCAAACTCGGTATTAACAACGGTGACCCAGTGTGTTGGTCATGGACAACGCATTATTAGGTTTCGATCTGCTCCTTGGGATGGACATTACTAAGGAGCTGGGCAGCGTACGCATTACAGAGACGGGCGAAGTCAAGTTTTCTGATCCGCCCATCTGTGCTACTTTGAAGATCAACGAGCCCGACTTTAGTGCTGAGTTCGACCAAAGGACGAAGACATGGACAGCATTTTGGAAATAGTCGGAAAATAACCCACCAGAAAAGCTCCAGAACCGAGTGTCAGAATATTCAGTGCCCGAACGCATTAAGGAAGAATACGTGAATTGCAGGTGTGGCTGGATAACGGATGGCTGACTCCGTATCCCGAGGAAGAGCTTGGTCCTCCAAGAGGCCTCATCCGTTGATGGCTGTGGTACAAAAGAACAAAGGTAAAGGTCGCCCCCTGTACTAGATTATAGAGAACTGAACGAACATGTAGACACAAACACAGCTCATGCTGATGTGTGTGCACAAAAATTGAGAGAATGGCAACAGAAGGGATCCAATGTCTCTGTGATTGACCTTCGAAGGCCTACTTGCAGGTACGCTGCGTACCGGTCACTGTGGCCATTTCAGACGGTGATTCTTAATGGGACGAGATACTGCTTAACCCGAACGGGATTCGGACTCAATGTGGCGCCGGCCATCATGGAAAGCCATCGTGGATGCTGTGCTATGCCAGGATGAGACAATTAAATCAAGCAACGTCAGCCTACATTGACAACATCTACATCTCTTTAACCTTAGTACCCGCTTCACAGGTGAGAAAGCATCTTACTGACTTTGGGCTCGAATGTAAAAACTCAGAACGAATGGAGGATGGTGCTCGGGTGCTTGGCTTGCAGGTCTGGGGGGAGCACAACATGCTTTACTGGAAACGTGGAAGTGAGCTCCCGGACATTCCCAAACACATGACCCGATGCAGCGTGTTTTCGTTATGTGGAAAGCTGGTGGGACATTTTCCTGTGGGCGGGTGGATCCGCATTGCAACTGCATTTATTAAACGTAGGGTGACTGCTGTCACTTCCAGCTGGGATGACACAACAAATGATGCTCCCCTTAGACAGCGGAAGTCATTACTAGGGTGCGTCAAAGGCGACCCCGTGCACGTGGTAAATGGTGCGTTGACGGATGTGAATTTAACGTCTGGAATCGACGCGAGCTCCCTTGCAACAGGAGTGTCTCTTGAAGTAGGTGAAACTGTCGTGGAAGATGCGTGTTGGTTGCGTCCCCGAGAAGGATATGCAACATATCAACCTGTCAGAATTAGACGTTGTTATCAGGGGAGTCACCGCGCCCTTCAATGGAATGCAAAGGTATTGCATTTATTCACGGATTCGCATGCGTGTATAAGTGGATAGCAGACACTCTTACGGGAAAGGCTAGGATACGTACAAAGGCTGCGGCGAGATGCTCATTCGAGGAGGCTAGACACACTGGGAAAGTTGGTAAGTGAATACCACTTATCCGTAGACATACAGCTGGTCAGATCACAGCAGAACGAGGCCGATACTTTAACAAGGGTATCCCAAAAATGGTTTGACGCTATTAAGAAAGAGGTAGAGCCGGTAGGACATGTCTGTGTAACATCAGTGAGCAACTATAATTCAGATTTACTAAAATCTGTGCATTGCCAAAGCGGGCATTCCGGTGTAAAACGGACCTTATATTTCGTGAGGCAGATTTATCCCTCCGTATCCAAAGCTGCTGTCAGGGCAGTGGTCAGAGGATGCAAGGAGTGTCAGTCCATCGACCCAGCACCTGTGCAATGGCAAAAAGGACAAGTGAGTGTAAGCAAGGTGTGGCACCGTGTTGGAATGGACATCACCCATTATAACGGACATCACTATTTAACCCTGATTGACTGTGGCCCAACCCGGTTCACTATTTGGCGGCATCTGCATCGACAGGATTCCGTAAGCGTCATTGACCACTTGGGGTCATTGTTCTTTGAACGTGGACCTCCGGCGGAACTCCTCACTGACAACGACACTGCATTCTGCAGTGGACTATTCAAAGATTTTGTGGCCGTGGGAGTACACCTCAGATTTAAGCTGCGTATGTCCCATCAGGGAATGGCATAATCGGCGATATCGCCGACATCAAAAGAATCGCCGCTAGGAAGCAGTGTTCCATAATGGAGGTGGTGTATTGGTACAATGTTACTCCGAGAGACAATGTATCGCCATCAACTGCGCCAGCCAACATGATTTATCAGTACAAAGTCCGCTTCGAAGCATTGACGCAACGCGTTCAACTGAACGGATAAACGAACGAACGCCCGTATGACTTGGGCGATCGCGTGTGGGTGAAATCTCCACATAGCGGTGTACAACCCGGTACCGGTGGGGCATGTCACTGGACTAAGTAACTCTCGTTCTGTGCTGGTTGATGGCATACCAAGACACATAAAGGATTTGCGTCGCTATGTAGGTACAGATACGTCAACAAGTGACACTAGCAGTGAGTGCTCAGAAAGTGAACAAATAGTTACCATCGGAGGTAGGGCTAGCACCTCTTCAGATGGTGAAGACTGTGCGTGAGGTTGTCAGACCAGAAGAATCCTCAGAAGAAGAATCTTCAGAACATTCTTCAGATGAAGACTCTGTGCATGAGGTTGTCAGATCAGAAGAAACCTCAGAACATAACACACAATCTCCTCCAACAGTCGCCCCACTCTGGAGAAGCTTAAGAATAAAGAGGCTCGCCCATGAGTGTCACTTATGTGACAGTGGGGAGTGTAGTGAACGAGATAATCAAGTACCCCGGAAAAAAGTTCGTGTGTTGTGTGCGATCTGCCGAAGAAGGAAAATTCGGGCATTTTTGGCTACGGCGTTCATGAGTTATTTTCCTGACGTGTTACAAGTGATTTTCTTCATGTTGTGAAAGCCACAAATTTGCTTTGAGAACGCTTACTCTTCACTTTCATGGCTGATGGGCTTGTGTATCTTCTCATCGAACAGGACAGTCCTTGGAAAGGTGATTACACCCAGAGCATCGATAGCATCAAATGCTCTCACAACATTTAATAGTTTGAAGTTTATCAGCTGCTGCTCTAACTGGTGAGATGTTAGCCACAGCCATTTCATCATTCACAGTCTGATCTTTCATTATAGCCTGGTTCAAAAGTTGACTTGTAGTCATGTCTTCCATCCTGGAAGATGCACATAGTAGTTGCTTGATGTGTACTGACAGTCCTGCTACAAACACACATGCCAGTCCTTGCTCGGATATTCCACCAAATAGTCATGCCAGCTTCTTCAAATCAGCTAGAAAAACAACAGACTTGTCTGGGTGCAGCTGCTGCTCCATGTACTGCTTGTAGGCTAGGAAACGGACTGATGCAATGGTAATCCACAGGGCTCATTTTATCTTCTTGGCATCTGCTTTTTGCTTTGTACTGCTGGCACACTTCAAATGCTCCACTGGTTAATCTTAATGGAAGAACATGTTCAATCTAATTGATTCCACAGAAATCACCAACAAGTTCTGCCTTTTCTATCCATTCAGTAACTACCAGTCCAGTCACTGAGCCATTAAATTTGGGTATCAACTTGATGTCAAATGTCCTATCCATCATGGTGCCAAAATAGTTTGTAGTTGAATTTTATGAGGGATAAAATTCAATCCAGCATGTCTCAAAAAATCCTCCATCATGCAATGTAATGACTTACAGAAACAAATCCCCAGGTCACTTGCCACACATGTTCATATCTAGTTTGAGAAATCAGTGATTGGTTGAGGTGTGACCAAATATTTGCTTAATGTTCTCATATATAAACAAGAGGTCATGCATGTCCTTTTCTGGCATAGGATAGATGCAACGAGCTGTTACTTGGTTTGACAAGTCACCATTTTCTTTGCTACATATTTTCTTTAAGTGTCTCCTTAGAGTTTTCTTTACATAGTAGCTATATACTGTTTACCAACAAGAGATATGTATAGCATGTCAAATTACACAGTCATCATCACCAGATGTTCTTTTTGCTTGAGTTAATGTATTCTAATAAATACCTTTCACCAATTAGTTAAGTAACTTGTAAGCCATTAAAAAAGTGAATGCATTACAAGCAGTTACTCAGTTCCCTAGTTTTTCCTTAAAAAGGAAAGCACAATGAAAATATCCAATCCAAAATTTGCTGAAAATCTTTGATATTATTAGGCAATGTAAAAATTGGTTTGGGCTATAAAGTAAAAATAAAAGATTTTTAAAATATTTTTGACATTAACTTTATTGAACAACATATTGATGTTTCATTTTACTATTTTCTACTATCTTTTATCCAACTCCAAAACTGCCAATCTCCTGATCAGAGGCCTTACTGTCAGATGCTGTTCATTGTCATACCCAGGACTAAGCATAATTGGGAGCTGTGGATATCATGCCATTAGGAGCAGTACTTGTTTCAGTTAATTATTTGCTTCATCAGAAGGAGCTTGCATCATATTAAAATTTTTCCTGTATATGATTTCAAAATTGACCATGTAAAATAGGTCATTTACATAGTTTTTAGATACTTTTATATACTCAATCTTAAGTTCAATAAAACGCAGAATAATAACTAGACAAAAAATTAGGGGAGAAGGTGAGTTACCCTGGAAAATACTGCAGTTATGGTTCCTATTTTCAGTCTTCATTATGTCGTTTATGCTATGTTAGTATGCCAAATTTGCATATTGAGCCTTAAAAAATTGATTACTCTTTTTCTGGCTTAATTAAGTGTAGTCAGTTTCTTCATGCTTGGAATAAACTACCCTAATTCATTTCTTTCTCCTCAAATAGCATAGCATAAGTCAACAAATTCAACACATGTCTCCTGTTTACTACCACAGTCATACTGCTCTGTCACTTTGTCAAGAACTTTTTGTAGCTGAGTGACAGGTCAAATTTGCACAGGTCCAATAAGAGACTTGTGAAAGTTTCTAACTCTGAGATCTATCATTTCTTAAATATACAGCTTGTAAAGCTGGCATTTTCTTTTTGGGATACTTTACAAACAAGACACACCCAAATCCGTTTTCTACCAGGAGGTAACCCATATTTTCTTGTGTTAATTAAGTAACAGGTTTGAGTTTTATGCTTGAGCCTTGAAGTCATTCATATAGCCTTTAATTGATCATATATCCTGCAGTCAAGTCAAGTGTTACAAAATTATTAATTCAGTAATTTTTTATATCAGCTTCAATTAAGTACTGGGACACAATTAGTAAGCATTTTGCTTTTGTAATTGCATATCCCTTTCAATTAGTTTAGGAGTAGGAGTATTTGATATAATATATAAATAATATAAACATATGAGGACTGAAGAATCTATAATTAAATAAAGACTTAATTCCTTGTGCAAACTACAATTAGTTTAGGTTTACCTTGGTGCCATTATAGAGAAGATCTCTGATGAAGGGGAAGATACCAAGAATGATATCAGCTCCACTGTTATCACAGAAAATGGCAGCACATTTGTATGGAGGAGATGACTGTCTACACTGGAGCCAAGTATTGAAGTCATCAATCAGCCAGGGACGATCTGTAAAAAGTCAGTGTTTAAAACATTGTAAACAAAAAGCATGTTGTGATATATATATATATTTTTTTTTAATCAAAGATGAAAAGGGGAAAAGGGGAACAGTGATCAATATTTACTAAAAATTGCAGCTAAATCTGCCAAGTTGTTAAAAATGAAGTGTAGAAATACTGAATCATTCAAATTTAAAGAAGTTGCCATGCAAAATGCAAGTGAGAGAAATAAGCATGCTTGAAAGATAACCAGTACTTGACTCTTTCAACTTAATCCCTACCAAGCTTTGAGACTTGTAAAATTAACCTGAAACCATATTTGTGTTGTTTTTTTAACTGTCATCTTCCTTAAAAACACCAGGGCAAAGAAAAATTACCATGAAAGTATTTATATAAAGGACACAAAGAGGCAATCTTATGACAGTGGGAAAGTGACTGAAGCTATGCCACCAGATCGGGACTAATAACATTGCTAATTTTTCTTTAGATTTTACCAAGGGGCTCAAGTTAAATAGCAAGGGCACTGGACATATATTCTAAGCATGGACGGATGGTAGACTTATAGATATGTAAGAGATTCTGGAGGGAAAAATTGTCTTGCATGGCACAGTGAACCAACTTTCTAAGCCGCTGATCTAGCAATGAATTCATTATAGTCTTTCCACTTCATGACAGCAGAGAATGTTAGCTTGAGAAGGTGTAAGGAATCATTTTCCTGCAGGTTAGCATCAGCCACGCTGATGGAAGGCAGCAAGGAGTCTCTCAGATGATTAATGGAGAGAAGTTAATTTTAGAGGTGTTAAAATTAACAAGTCATCTTTTGCCTCAGTTAACGACAGACTCGAGTTCATTTTGGACAGCAGCTGCCATTTTGACATTGTCAAACTGATCAGCCTTATTATTGAGGTAGGAGTAAATAGTTGTGTTATCATCATAGATATCAAGTTGGAAATTGGAAAGGTCCTTAATGAAAATTAAAAACAGAGTAGGACCAAGGATGGAATCTTGGGGGACTCCTGTGTTAGTACAAAAGGATCTAGATAAGTGGCCACTCAGGATAACTTTCATTTCACAATTTGATAGGAAAAGACCGGATCTGTTCAAAAATGTGTCCGGAGATGCTGTAACTTTTCAACTTGTGGGGAAGATCTGTATGCCAAACCTTGTCAAAGGCTTTCGAGATGTCCAAGGGCTTCAGTGTTTTTATCTAGAGCATTATAGACTCTTTCCGCAATTATTATCAGTACATCAGCAGTTGACCTGTTGAAACAAAAGCCATATTGCCTGTCTGGAAAAAGGCACTGCGATGGGAGATGAACCAACTCAGATCTGATTAGGGCCTCTATGGAGGTAGAAGACTAATAGGCCAATAGTTGAAGGGGTTGGACAGTTCACCAGAGTTCTTAAAAACTAGATTATATGTATATCACTCAACAGAGACTCTGTTCTAAGTTGGAAGTTAGGAAGGGGTATTCCAGATGAGTTAAGAGTAGAGTTTAAGGAGAATTTATGGGAAAAGTATTCTGCTTTATCAGCAGAGGATGTTAACACCAAATTGATTGAAAAGGGGAGAAATAGAGACCTTACATTTATTTAATACCCTATTACAGAGACGCCGGTAATCATAAGAGCCAAAGTTGTTAGATGCTATGTGTTCTCATTCTCTCAGCAAACAGGAACTTAGCTCCTTTGAGGACTCACATTTATTATGAGCAGCAACAAATAAGCACCTGTTGTGACGAGAGCTGTTATGCTGGTAAAGCTGAAAAATAGTGGTTCCTGTGTGCTATAGTGGCCAAGCATGCTGGTGCAAACCATGGAGAAGATTGAGGTTTCACCTGGTATTTCTGAGAAGGTATGAAAGCATCCAGGCCAGCTTTGACCCACGAAGAAACCTCAGTGGTGAAATTTTCAATTGGGAAGTTAAAGATGTCAGTCCATGGGGTGTCACGAAGAAATTCATGGAGTGAGTTCCAATGATGTTTTAGATTGTTTGGTCAAAACAGTCAATCCTAATTTACTTATCTCCTTTCAACCACATTTTATAGTAAGAGAATTATAAAAACTTCTGAAAAATACATCTCTGTTACTCACAATTTTCAAATGCATTCAGACAATTACTGACATTCATATTTCTAAATGAGTTGTATAGAAGCAATGTTCTGCAATTCACAACATTCACATTGAAAATCTAAGTAAAAATAAATAGCTCAAAGCAAAGAACAACCAAATTCTGTTTCTGGTTTGGATACTTCATTTTCTAAATGCACAATAATTAACTCATTCAGAAAACAAATTCAAACAATTACCCACTCATTAACTTTTTACAATTAGGAGAAACAAGTGAAAAACCTCAATATATTCTAACCAACAGTCATCAGCAACTACTAAAGTAGAACAGTATGTCAGATACTAATATTGTCTAATGTGTGAAGTAAAAGCATAAAAATCACACCTTGAATTGTATTGATGGCATCAGAGAATCCAAACTGACCACTCTCCAAGATGTGCTCCACCTCTCGAGCACCCCAATCAAACACATTTCCAGCCAAAACACCTTTGACAATGGACAGCTGACGTTCTTCCCAGTTGAGCTCATCCAGCTCTCTCAATCGTTCAACCAAAAGCAACAAAGAGGCTTCATTTTCACTCTGCTTCAACTGCAAAGACAAAAGTGTGATTGAACAATGTAATAAGAAAGTTACATAAATGCTTAGGCTTTTTCAAAGTTAAATGTTTTAGAATAAATTACAATAATGAATCAGATTTATTTTGATTAGAAAAACCACAACTTTCAAAGGGGATTTTCCATTCTTAGCCATATTACTGCTTCCAAATACCAATTTTATTGAAATATATGATGAACAAGAAAACAAAAATACAGAATAAACAGAAAACAATTTTAACAGTGCTTTTAAAAGGCCTACTTTTAACAACTGTACACACACACATAGACAAGTTAAAAATTTATAGTAATATGATGCACTCCAAAACAAAATATACATGTAAAGGTTTTCTGCAAAAGGTTGCATTCAGTATAATCATAAAAATGGCTGATATTGAATGAAAGGATAAAACAATGTCTAAGTTATTTTATAAAATGTGATTTACCAAAAATTACAGCCCGTGAGAAAAAGTGAAAATTAATTTTTACCTGAGAGTATGGATCTGTAAACATAAATTCTTTGAGAAATTGTCCAATTGTATCAAGCAAAGACCGAACAGTCAAGGAACCATAGGCACTGAAATGATTATGGAAAAGTAAATTTAAAAAAAAGCAAAAAAAAAAAAAAGCATCTTCAGAATTTTCACTCAATTTTCTATAGAAGCAATGTGATACCTAAACAGAAACAAACAAGAAAAATCTAAAAAGAAAATTTGCAAACTTACCAAGGATTTTTTGCCAGTTCATTTAACCGATTAATATATTTTTCTTTGAATTTGTCTGCTCTCTCCTCTGAGTCTTGTGTCCCTTCTTGACTTGTCACCGCTTGTGTTCTGATCTAGCATACAAAACAGTATATCAAAATAAGTCAATAAGACCTTTCAAGCCTCAAAAATGATCCTAACTTGACAACTAACTAGACACCAGAGAATCTGATGACATGTAACATAGTAGGTACTAAAAAACAAATCCAACCTTAAAAATAGCTTGTCAAAACCAGAACCAATCAAGAGTAGCAGCAGGTCAGAACAGTAACCAAATATTGTAAGTATTTGCATTGGGATTCAAGAGTATAACAAAACTTTACAAGAAATCCTGATCTTTGTGAACTATTATTTCATAAGCATAAGACTTCCTCAGACTGGATTGTTATAAAGCAGTTGCCAAGAACTGATTAAAAAACTGAGAGTCCAGAAGCTGTTGAAGCATGTCAGCAGCAATAAATTGGTATGATTGAATGGTTTGCTCTAAAGAAAACTGTATTTTAAGTAGTTATGTATTTTTGTTCCTCCTGTCTTGTCATCTGTCTTCAACAATGGGTTTGACTAGAGAAGAATTTCATGAAAGATAACTAAAACTGTGATCAGGTTGTTAAGAGTTACCAGAGTGAAAGCAAATTAGACAATTATTGATCCATAATTGTTACAAATTTTGGTCAAGAATGTGACAAATGCATTCTGATGATTGTCAGTGGAATGCTTAGCCCCAAGCAAATTTGAACTATGAAAGAAAAAAGCAATCCAGGCATATTTACATATGAGCATAGACATGACAGAAGCCATGAAGAGTTGTTGTGATCAGTTCAAGGCATTCAAGGCTTGAAATTGTCTTTAAGATCTCACAACTGATTAAGCAATGTTGTTGTCTATGACCCTATGACATAGTAACCTTTTCTGTGTAAGTTTAGATGGGAAGTAGCAACATTGTTCCTGCACAAATCTGTATTACCTTGAAGAATTTGAGCCAGATCGTCAACAATATTACCACCTTACACTGGCATGCAAAGGTTTTGGGAAAACTACATAAAATGATTATACACCTCTATTTTATTAAGATTGTTTAGCAGTATGATTTTATCAGTGGTGCCAACAGGGTTCTCACAGTGCCAGTTTAAGTCCTAGAAACTTCTTAACATTGTCCTGGAAAAGTCCTTGAAAAGTCATGGAATTTTTTTTTTTTTTTTTTACACACAGAAGAGATCTGTGTAAAAAAAAAAATTCATGACTTTTCAAGGACTTCTTTTCCAGGACTATGTTAAGAAGTTTCAAGGACTGAAACTGGCACGTGCGCATACACACACAAAGTGAATGGACATCAATTTCAAAAACACTAACTTTCTGATTTATCTTTTCATAATTTGACAGTTGAGATGTTCAAAGAAATGCTACAGCTGGTTCCAATATAATTCATGTCATGTGGATCAGTTGAAAGCAGTGAAGAAATCCAAGTGTTGAAGGCTAAAACACAACTGAATGCTGACCTGGTTATATTACACATTTTGTGTTGCATTCTACACAGTTTGGAGTTCTCCTATACTTCAAAAATTTGATTTTTACTGCTACACATTTCAGCTATCGAGATGACTCATGGTTTGTAAATGTCACAAAAATTCTTGACTGTTGCTCATTTCCTGTGAAGTTATGTATAGAGTTTTTAATGAACAGAACTACAAATAGAAATTTTCTCAAAAAGACTAATGGCCAAATGTCAAGGAGTCATTCATGTTTGTATATTTTCTAACCATCTATGGCAGAAATACAAAAGTAAAGGGACAGGGTTGCCAGACTGAACTTTTAAAGCCAAGCAGTAAAAGCCAAATAAGTCTTAATATATTTCATCATTTTTTCACAAAACAAAAGCTAAACATACAGGTCATTTTTAGCCTGCAAACTTTAAAAATAACATTCTTTTATTTTTTTATCTTAAGATATATCAAAGGCACTTTTACTATTCTATCATCCTTCCCATCTACATTTTCTTTGGGCCAAATCTGATTCTCAAACTTTATACTTTTTGCAACAATTTAGATAAACATAGTTTACACATAGATATACATTGACACGGGACGCATGGGTAAAGTATCTATTTTTTCAGCATGGACTCACCCACCACTGACTAGAGATCAAAAGGACGTTTTACTTTTGAAATTGACATGTGAATAAAATGTTTTCAATTGTTCAAATTTTAAAAAACAGATAAATTTGAGATTCTACTAAAATGTATTTTATTATTGTAAATTAATTTATTATTTTCCTTTCAAGTACAAATTCAAGGAGTGTGAATCAATTTATTTTGTTTACTTGTCTCTGACGGCTTTTATCTTTACATTTCCTCTTTTCTTGTTGAGTGTGGGTAGCAGTTAAGAAGACATGCCATCATATTCTTTCTCGTCACCTATACAAGAATACAGAAGTAACTATGAGGTCATGAACTCATTCTAATCAACGAAACAAACTACTATTTGTAATAATTGTCAGATATTACTGATGACTAAAAAACACTTTTCTTAAAGGACAATTTTACCTTGTAAAAAAAGCCAGATTTCTAGGATTTGTCATTTTGACTTTCATGAATTGAGTAAAAGGATGTGTGGGCAGCCTAATTTAGAAAATTCTAAGACTTTTCAAGGTTTCCAGGGCCTGTATGACCCCTGAGCCAATGAAAGATCCGAGATGACAGTTATCATAAAATGCAAATTTCTAAGTAGGAATTGCTCATTTTACTAATGAATGAATAACCTTGGCAAGTCATTGTAGTTGAACATTAGCTTGCTTTTTTATGCTAAAATCAGGGTTAAAATTTCTGCTGAAACAAAGATGAAAGTTGTTAACTCATTTTATAGTTCACCAATAGAAGGGTTAACCAATCAGAAGGCTCAATATATTCAATGCGATGTGTATAAAGGCGGCCATTTCCCCACCCCCCGAATACTCACAGCCAGCCTTTGATATCGAAGGCTGAAGAATTACAGAACAGCTGCTGTTGCTGGTGGTATTGGCGATATAGTCAGATTCAGTAGAGTGTCTTACTCAAGAGTATTAATCTTTAACGTTGTTTCATTGAACAGATTACGTACTGCACTGTATTCTATATTCATAGACTATGGTGAACATGGTTAACAAAGGTTACAAGCCCAGATTACGACTGTATTTTGACGGAGACGAGTCAAAATACGAATTATGGGAAGTAAAATTCCTAGGCTACCTTAGAATACAAAAACTTCATGACATCATTCTTTTCCACAATAACCAGAAAGAAGATGATGATTTTATGGAAAGAAATGCGACCATGTTCGCCAAATTAATACAATGCCTGGATGACAGGAGTTTGTCTTTAATAATGAGAGAAGCCAGGGACGACGATCGGCAAGCTGTAAGAATATTGCGTGAACATTACTTGTTAAAAGGTAAGCCCAAAATTGCTTTATATACTGAACTAACCTCGTTAAGGAGACGAGAAAATGAATCTGTAACAGATTATGTTATAAGAGTTGAAAATGTAACAAATGCCTTAAAAAATGGCAGGTGAGACTATCTCGGATGGGCTGCTAATAGCCATGGTTTTAAAGAGATTACCAGCAACATTCAAACCATTCAGAACAGTCATAACTCAAAAAGATAAAAAAATTAACTTTCACCGAGTTTAAAATTGCGTTACATAGTTATGAAGAAACTGAAAAAATGTGTAATCCCCCAAATCAAGGAAATAACGTAATGCAACTGAGAACGTCATTTAAAAAATTCAGAAAACCATTCCCTCAAACCTACCAGACTAGGAATTATGATATTAAAAACAACTATTACAATAACAACAACAGGAACAATAATAATAGAAAATCAAATATCATCTGCTTTCGTTGTGGAAGAGCTGGGCATGTACGTGTGAAATGTCAATTTTATACAAGGAGTGACTTTGTAAAAATGTAAAAGCTTTTTCGAATGAGCGAACATATGCTTTTTTGTTTGGGTTGGATACTATACCCAATAGTTATAATTCTTACCTAGTCGACACGGGTGCGACAAATCATGTAATTACAGATGAAACAAAATTTATTAATTTTGACACCAACTTCAAGCCAGATTCCTACTTTATTGAGTTGGCTGACGGTACCAGAGCTAATAATTTAGTTTTAAAAAGAGGCGATGCCTGTATTTATTTATGCGAAAGGAAATATTTGTAAATGTTTATTAAAAAGGGCTTTATATATCCCTAAATTTAAACAAAATAATTTTTCGGTTCAGTCTGCTATTAGAACTGGTGTTAAAGTTAATTTTCACCGAGACAATTCAAAGCTAATATACCCAGACGGAACTGAATTTAATATACAACAAAATGGACATTTGTATTTGAAAAGTATTAAATCTGTCAAAACAGCCACCAACGACTTAAGGACTTGGCATAAAATATTAGGCCACTGTAATAATTCGGATGTTAAAAGATTGGAAGAACACGTCATTGGAATGAAAATTACATCTCCAAAGGCTTACAACATTGTGACACATGTATTAAAGGGAAAATGACGAAATATAGAAATAGGGATCAAATCCCAAAAGCAACAGATATTTTGTTCAGAGTTTATTGCAACTTAGCGGGTCAAATTTCACCAATGGGTATAGGCACCTATTCATATTCTATTCATATTCAACTACTTTGTTGATGAATATTCAGGACTTATTATATATTTTTTGAAAAACAAATCTGATACCCCACAAGCTACAAGAATGTATTTATCTGATATCTCACCTTATGGAAAAGTGAAAATATTTAGAACAGATAATGGCGAAGAATTTACTTCTGATGATTACAAAAACCTCCTAATAAATGAAGGCATTAAACATGAGAAAATCTGTCCTTATTCCCCGCACCAGAACAAAATCACTGAATGTAGTTGGCGGACTCTTTTCGAAATGGCTAGATGTTTGCTAATAGATTCTAAGTTACTCAAAAAAAATCTGTGGGTCTATACATTAAATACAGTCATATATATATAAGAAACCGTTGCTATAATAGTAATATTAAAAAGACTCCTTATGAGGTTTATACGAACTACAAACCCAA